TGCCGCCTATGACCACTTTGTTGAAAGCACATAGGTTTGCAAATCTCTCATCTTTTCTTTACTTCCTCCAAGTCCATTTCGTCCCATTATGTCTTCATATCCGGTGTTGTCCATTCCAACCTTGGTATTTAGCTCTCCCAGCAGAATGGTCAAGTTCTTTGTTGGGCATTTCTCAACGATTGACTGCAACCTAATGTAGAATTGATCTCAAACGTCTTCATTGTAAGCGTTGGTAGGCGCATAGCATTGGATGACGTCCATCATAATACCCTCTTTCTTTGTTTTGAAGGAGGCTTTGATGATCCTTGTTCCATGAGATTCACATCCTATAATTACTTCTTGGGCTTGTTTAGATGGCATCAGTGAAACGCCTTGTGTATGTGGAGCAATTTCTTCGTCATTGACGAAGTATAACAAAACCTCTTCTGAAGCTAGTCTTTGTTGTCCAACCTGCGTCCAATGTGTTTCGCTGATTCCAAGCATCTCTGGGTTATATCTTTTCGTTTCTGCATCAACTTGTATGACTTTCCTGGTCTCCCACATTGTTCGGACATTCCATGTACCTAAAGTAATAGTTGCTGTGGTTGTCAGAAGGGACATCAGCCTCGTGACTTCCGAAAGAACTCAGCTTTTATCATGAGGCATCATAACTCTCCTAAATGAAGACCTTCTAACTCTCAGAGCATAGTTTAAATGGTTCAAATTATTTTTCTGGTTTGCGTTTGTTTGGCGATTTAGTTGTTTGCCGGATATGGTCGCTAACCACCTGCCCAAGCCTGCTCCTTTATTCGGATTAGGACTGGCAGTAGCCCCAGAGGGCCTCCAGGCGGAGTTACTCAAACTTTTATAATAATCACTATATTTAATACTGCTCAGGATATGTTTTTCTCTCTAAGCTGGCCAATACTTAAGACTTTGCGATATTATATATACTCCTGATATTTAAAGCATTGATAATAATAAATTTTATAATCTAAGTTATAATAATTAAACTGCTATTTCTGTCTAATTGTTCACACAAAGTTGAATAGGGTACTTTTTTATAATATCCAGAAATAAGGTATTCCTCTTAAAATATTTTGTTGTTTAATGTATTTTGCTTAATGCTCCATCGCTAAAACTTTCATTTTTTTCTCAGTAGAATTAATAATCTAAATGAATTTTCATCATTGTCATAAATATACATTCATGTAGATAATATTAAAATTCTCTTGGTCATTGTGTTCAAAAGACGTGTCTATCATTCATCACTTAAAACAACCTATCTATCATCTTGAACGTATTCCATTATTAAGAGTTATTCGGCTTGTGAATCACACAACTATATACAATGCTATGGCATATGTACATATATGTCAAATTGAAACAGTTAAAATTATCTATCACTTCTTAAAATCATATGACTGATTTTTTTTAGAAATAAACAAAACCAAACATATTCCGAACTACAATATGTTTCGGCAGACAATTATTCGAATGCACAGTTTAGTATGCTATCATTAAAACTAGTATAACATTTATATATAAATAAATAAATAAATATATATATATATATATATACTTCGGATATCTCCACTTCACTTCATAGAATCTGTCGTCTACCGAAAGTAAATATTCAGTTAGATTTTGACCAGTTATCTTGAATATGAAACCATGTATAATCTTAAAGATTACGACAAGGCATTTGTTGCTATAACTTCTGGAATATGTGCTACCTATGCTGACAGATATAAATAATATTTGGCATCAGTCGTTAGTAGAGCGCTTCGCAACAAAAAATTCAAATGACGAGAACAGTAAGAAAACTGGATAGCAATCTGATTCAGAACAGAATTAAAGTTTTTTGCAACTAAAACCTCTTAAAGCTTTAAATTTAAAATATATAGTAGATGATTTCAAAGAGCTTTCATTTTTAAAATAGTTTCAAGATCATATAGTAGTTTAATGATAGAAATTAAATTTTCAGCTTCCGGTCTCCTTTTCTCTCTATAATCGTTTTAAACAAAATTTCTCATTTATTAATTATGATGACAAATGTTCAATTATTTCTGTCCAAACATAAAATTAAACTGGTTTCATGTGTTATTTAAACATTAAATTACTCGTCAATATTTTAATGTTAGAGTAACATGACTCAATATACTTGAATGTAGAAATTGTGGGTAAATATCCTAATTGTCTCTAATATGCATACTGATTTTCTATACAGAATATTTTTTCCAACTTGATCATAATGTCTACTTCATCTGTTTCAATCAAACATTAGAATAGCATACAGATAAACTAAAAATGAAAGTTAATTACTAAATAATGTAAAGAATTATAATACCTTGAACAAGAAAAAAAGTTGTGTTTTAGTTGATCAGAGAAGATATCAATATGAACTAGGTACATGATGGAATATATTCATGATAAGGACAGTATTCATAACATCAAATTAATAAAACATTTCTTATATGATCTAAATCATTTGTTATGTAATGATGCCGGCTCAGTGGTCTAGAGGTTAAGTGCTTGCGCGCGAAACTGACAGGTCCTGTGTTCCAATCTCGCGAGAGGAGTCATGGACGCGTATTGCTGAGGAGTCCCTTAATAAGACGAAACGAGCGTCCAGTGCTTTCAGATTTTCAATGGTGTTGTAGCTACAATTGATTCGTGATTTCAACTATTAAAGATAAAAAAGAAAAAAATAGTTGAAATGGTTTTCAGAATGAAAATAAAGTTTATTACGAAGTACAAAGAATAATTCGAGACGTAACAGCTTTTTTTTTAACTAGATATTAAAGAACAATTTTCAATGAATATTTTAAGGTATCCATACGTATTGACTAAAAGATTCTTACAAATTTTAAATATCAAAATTATTAAAATTCATAACTATTATAATAGAAATGTAATAGTGTTTTATTCACATTCTTATACATAACTTAAAAACAAAAAGGATCATTTGCAAAGAAATTTAAGAGAAAACTCATAATATTCTCTTATTCTTGAATTCTTTTATAACCAAAAAGAAACTCAAATTCCCAATTTAGTTCCTTTTTTTAAATAACAACAAATATTGATGTTTTGAACAATAAAAATTTTGTTTACAATACCATTATTTTTGTTTGTAAATTCATTCATATACTGAACGTAAATATTGAAAATATCCACTAAGACAATCAATTAAATAAATATTTGTATATAAACCTAATTGTGTTAAGATTTCTTGAACGGTTGTTTACAGTTATTTTTTCTGAGGTTGAAAACAATAATAAGAAATAGAATGTATGGTATGTTTCTTTTAGGAATTATACATCAAATTCAAAGAAGGTACTTCCATTCCTTACAGGGAACTAAATGTATCAAATAACTTATTTAATAAAATGTGTATTTGAAAAATAACATTGTGGTTCAATTTACTGTCTGAAATTATTCATTAAGCTTGAAAACTATCCACTGAATAGTTCATCATCAAATTTTGATGTTCTTAATTGATCATTATTATACATAAGTAAGGGATTATTATTCATACTTTCTAAACTTCAGGTTTTGATGATAACTATCTAATTGCTTAAACTAAAGTAAAAACAGTTGAGGTAGGTGTTGTATCCCGAAGAGAATTACGAATGGTAACTTTTGAGGACTATTTATTGGTCAATATAATGTGTATATTTCCTATTGTAATTAAGCCAATCATATTCGTTTCCTCTTATAACTAACTTTATTTTGACCTTTGAACTATTATTATACGATCCTTGAGTTATCATAAGTTTATTGATTACTATTCACAGCCACATTCGGCTAAATGCTGTACAAATGTTATTATCTATTTTATGGGTCGATATGGTTTGTTTGGTTGGTATATAAACTCAGTATGTTTGAAATACAATGATTCATACAACTGAGGCTGTTATCGGTGTTTTGGACTTAACTGGTTGGGCTAGGCAGACCGCAGGATCGGTTAGCACTCTAGTCTGCTCGTACGGTTTCGTGTGTCACTGTTCCAATAGATAATCCACTGCTCCCTAATTGGCGGTCTCATCAAGCCACACATCAACTAGGCATCCACTCGGCCACAAGATATAACAGTAGGATTCTGCCGTTAAAAGTTAAGTGATGAAATATAAATTGAAAGCTTTAATAAGTTTAGGTAGTGTTGTTGATCGAATGAATAACGTGTATCTTTCGATCGAGTACTACTTTTCACATTACTATGTAATGAAATTAGAACTTAATTACTTTTGGTCACATATCAAACAGCTTGAATGCATAAACATACTGCTCAATTAATAGTAAAGACAAGTAATCTGATATCAGATAGTTAACAACATTAAATAAGTACGACATTAAATAGGAATAATATATTTGTAAAATCTCAGCGAATGAATTTTTTAAATTAAATCCAACGTTTCGCCTGACAATCTGGTCCAAGCTTTTTCAAGGAATTATAATCAAACATCAAAATTATCAAATATAAATAGGTACATGGTTCTCCGAGTTCATTATACACTGAATAGGTCATCCAATCAACGTTAACAATAGTCTAAACTAGGTATATTTAAGAGATATGTGATGTGTAGTGAAGAGTGTTCATATAACATATTGTGATGTGAAGTGATGAGTGAAACTATTCGTTCTAATTTAGACGAGGGTTCTTATATATTAAATAAGTACTTCTTTTCAGAAATTAACCCTTTAAAATAGAAGTGTTAATATCAGAATTTTGAAATAACTGTTTTGAACCAATGCGACTTGAATTATCTTCAATCCAGTAGAAAAAAAGAAATTCAGTTAGACGTAAACTAAGTCTTTTGATTACCACTTTATGAATGAAGTCTATTTGTGATGAAAATCATCAAGTATGACTTGGATTTATTTTTATAACTATTATTTTGTAATTTCTGCAAATAACTCAGTACAATTGCTGTAAAAATAATCTTGAATAAACTAAAAGTTGACATATGTTATAGTATGCTTTAATTTCGATACATTATAACTTCTTTGTTACGTTTTAGTGTAAATATATTCAAATAATACTATTGGATCTCATGGACCTTTGGAAATGAAATATGTCGACTCATACTCTAATAACCAAGAACAGTTCGTCAGTTATTTCAACGAAAACAAACCAAGGAAACACGTAAGCTTTCAAATGATTCTTTATTTTTTCTAACTGAAGGAAAAACATTATGTTTGTTTCTAGTTTTAATGGATAAATGTCTAGATATTAAACTGCTCAGTGAATCGGTAAAGAAACACTTATGTGGATTTGATAAAAAAGTTTAAAGTTTTTTTTAACAATGTAGTTATTGTTGGAAAATTGTAACCGAAAAAGAATTTTTTAGATTAGAAGTTCTTTGCTAGTGAGTAGTATCATGAGTCATAAATAAATAAAACACAAAGGTACTTTGAATAAAGACTTGAAACACTTATTTCCGATTTCTTTAGATGAAGATTTTCATTTTCATTCATAATTAAAATTGAAGTATGCTTCAATAAAGGTTCCTTATTACTAACTGTGGATAATTCTTTATTCTAGTTTTTATTAAAATGCGTGACCTCTGTCTCCTACCACAAAGTGCATACAGAATAAATATTTCCACCTTGATCATGTTGCTGAGTGTGTTAGTTATTATTTTGCATTACGTAAACCTTAACCAATCCCCATTTGATCTCAAAAATCATTCTGCTAAACCATAAAATCTGAAAACAATTCTAAGTGAAACAGTTAAAGCAAAGGGGATTTCTATTGATCGTTTAAACTTGTATATAAATGTAAAACCATTTTTATCCCGATGTTTAACTAATAAAAAATGTAAACGTTCATCAAACACTTCGGAAAAAACTTTAACATCCGATTATGGTAAATAATTTTTATAGCAGCAGTTTATGAATTTAGAAGAAATGTATGACTATGACTCTTTAGATCTGAATGTCAAGCGTTTTCTGTGGAAATTGTTGTATATTTATAAGCAGAACTGTTATTCATTACTCATATAATTCACCACATACATACACGGACAGCTGACTGATGGCTAGCAATGAAATATAGAAGCCAACTTCAAGCAGATTAATAATCTTGAAGTGGATAGAAAACAGATTTGATAATTACTGAGTGCAACTGGATAGCACTCAATGTTTAATAAGTAAAATTTATGAGAAAACGCACTGATTGTCAAGCTCTATTTATCATAAATATACTGAAGAAAAGTGATCATTTCGTTTGGAAGAATCTGCCCAGTGACGGCAATAAAAAACCACAAATATATTATATGGCTTAGGTGGAATTTTGTGGCATGTGGTTCACTTACTGTTCGGTCAACTCCCAGGGTTAAAGTTATTTGTTCACATGATTCCAGGAAGGAGCTTCGGGGTTAAATGATAACACCAAAAAGGCCTGAAACATGAAGACTTCCATGGTTCTCCTCAAAGGAGAAAACCAAGCTTAGACAAACCTTAGTAAAGTTTTGACTGGCATGAAGATGATCTCCTTCAAATCCAGTAAAATAAAGCTCTCATAACTCTAGTTCGTGTATTCGTTGATCAGATTACATTACAACTGAGTTAATAAGATACACATACTCTTAATACACAGTATTCTCGAAAATATATGTTTGAAAATAGACAGTAATTTGTCTTGCGTACCTTAAAGTATATAAGAATGCGCATCATTTATCTGATTATAAATTAAAGTGCTATTTACCTAGTTTGAAGTTTTCTACACATTATGGAGGATCTTTTTCTTCAGATGTTAACTAATTATTTCAGCATAATTATATTTGTGTTCACGACAGAATAAAAACAATATATGAAACCCTTATTGAATTAATAATCTTACATTTATTACGTAATACCATGTTTGATGAAAAAATTCTACATCACAAAGAAAATAATAACCCCTCGTATCAAGCATCATGCTAATCATTTTAAAAAACGTGTGGTGCAAACTTTTGACATAAATTATTGAGATCATGTCTTAGTATAATATAAAACTGCTTAACTTTTAGGTAACACTGATTTAATGCAATATTCAAATTGCAATGATAATGCTAGCAATCCGATTAAACCAAATGAAATAGTAACATATACAAATGTCCTATCGAATAGTCAAATTCATGAGTCAATTAAAGTTAGGCCACAATGGAAAACTTGGAAGCACTGCACGACCGTTTATTCACAGTATGGGACTCCTTAGCAGTGCGCAACCACAATATATATTATTAAATAAATGACAACTAAAAATAACATAATAAGCATAGATGGATAGTGGCTAACAGTGGAATCCAGGACGCGCGTTTCGTCCTATTTGGGACTCGTCATCTGGATGTGCCTGCATATCAGAGTTCATGTTCACTCTGAGACTCGAACCCAGTACCTTTCGCTTCAAACGCCATCGCGTTATCCACTCGGCCACTGAGTCCTGATAGCCAATTGCTTCTGCGATGGGGTAAAGTTTAAATTCACTTATTATTGTTTGTTTGAATCTTCCCATCGATGTGTTAGGACTGCAACTGGTCAGTCTCTAATTGGCATATGTGCATACTGTGCGTATTGCCTCGATATAGCCTTGATTCACAAGCATGGTAAGCAGAGATGGATAATGGCTAGCAGTGGAATCCAGGACATAATCTTTCATTGTATCATTAAAACTGCCATTTTTGATTATAACTCAGAAGAAGATCTACGCCAGAGTTAATGTCCTAAATTCCCCACATTTTATCGATATTTAAATAATCATTTATCTAGCTTAGTCAAAAATCCCTATTACACTAACAAGTGAAATTCATGTGTTTTTAAGATGATAGACATATTGAATATTGAATAGTTTATGCATTATTCCTTTCGTATGTATAAATGTATCAATTTATAGTTCTATTCTGTAAAAAATTAAAAAAAAGTTTAACTCCATTATTTATAAACTTTATGTTGTATATTATCTCATTGCAACCATTCTAAAATGTTTGTTTTTATCACTTGTGACTATGACGTCGTTACATGCAGTACATAGAGAAAATGTTACACAATGAAATATGTTTATAAACAGCTTTATATAGATCAAGTGATAACTATTTATTGTTCATGTGACTGATATATATATATATATATATATATATATATATATATATAAAGTATATGTGTGATCAGATTGTTCGAAATATATTGCGCTAATATATCACATAATTCTGATAAACTTCGTCTTCTCATTGCATTATCGAAATTTATCAAATGGACTGATTCACTTAGTATTGTTTGTTTGGATCTTCCCATTAATGCTTTTAAGACATCAACTGGTCAGTCTCTAATTGACATATGTGCATACTGCTCGTATTGCCTCGATATAGCCTGAATTCACAAGCATGGGTTCGAGTCCCAGAGTGAACATCAACTGTGAGATGCAGGTACATCCGGCTGACGAGTCCCAAATAGGACGAAACGCGCGTCCTGGATTCCACTGCTAACCACTATCCATATTTGCTTACCAAAGGGACTGATTGTTCTAAACATTTATTAGGAGTCGAATTTATTTCAATGAAACGAAGATAATAAGAGTAATTATAACAATAATACTTCTGTTCATTTTACGATTTACATTTTAGTCAGTTAAATACACATTCTGTATTTCTAATGAAATCAACTCTTAAACAAACAAAAAGGGGATTTAGAACAACTAATTCTATCCTAGACTTTGCTTAAATGTATTCGCTTAATAAAATTATGTAGACACATGAATTGTATAGAAATGTTTTTCTCATTGCCTATCATAAGTCATTCCATAACATATCAGAACCTGTTGTTTTATTTCCTATGGATAGGTTTTACACTTTGAATTCTTAATATTCATTGATTGTGTAGTGAACGAGAACACAAGTGTGAACAACCAAATGTATTCGAACACAAAATATAAACATCTAAGTGAAATCTGGGAATCATACAGTAAATTCTTCATTTGTAAAGTGTCAATCAATTGTCTTAGACTTCATTGTTGCTTCGCTTCTGTACTAATCATTCTTTGTTCTCATTCACTTTTCTTCAATATTCTTAACCTTCTGCCATGAGTCATTTAACTTTCGATTGATTATACATAATACTCATATTAGTTGACATCAGTAGCATACGCCACAATTTAACCCCTATAATCGTGTAATAGCGTCAAGTGATTATAAAAAATTTATTTAGCATTATTTCTGAAATAATAGTCGAAAAATAAACCATATGATGCATTATCTCTTAGTCACGTATCATCGACGATCAGTGGTTGGTATCAACACACTTTCGAGGATAAAATCTGTAATTTAACTGTGAGTTCAAACTATTGCGTCTTCTCATGTTTTTTAAGCGTAATACGATGTAAAAATAGTTCGATAATACTGAACTGACAGTTGACCTTAAAACTGATTATTATTCTTATGATAATTAGGAGAGATTACCGTGATCTATTCAATATCCAGTTATATATATTATCAAACATAATTAACTTGTATTAAAAGAGAATTTCGTAATATTAGGAGGTTGAAGGTAATCTACAGGAGGCCATTGGACTGGATTTCAAACTGTTTGTCATTGATCAACACAGGGTGCATAGGATCTTGAGAGACCTAAATCTCCCTGATGAATTTGAACTTCAATTATCGAACTTTAGATTCTGAGACTTTACTATCGGGCTATTCTTGCAGCTAATGAGCTCATGTAGAAGTGAGATATTTACATAGAACACGCGACTTCAAATCCCTAAGACTAGTGACAATATTAGAGCTTTAATCGATTGAACTCGGTCAGCGTTAAAAAAGCTAGACAAATATTACATCAATCATTACTGTATGATTAATCAATGGTAAAATGAAGCTTGTTTCCACTTATATAACTTTTCTTCATTATTTAACCAACTATGAAATATATAATCTTTTTATTAAACTTTACTATTCATTTCAATTCTGCAAAAAGACAAACGTTATATAGTGTTATGATTTTTTACTAAGATTCAAGTACTTCGAATTATTTAATTTCAAAATATAATACTTATTAGATTACAACTGTAGAACATAAATGAAAATTTAATAATTAAATTCATGAATCGATTTAAGCTAGACCATCATTAAAAACCTGTCAGCACTGGAAGGCTGTTTTGTGTTAGTATGGATT